GGAAGTTCCGTCCCCCATTTTGTTTTCAGCAGTTTCGCTTCTGAGCACATTGTGGCAGCTGCCTGGAGCCTTCCACCAGCTCTGCCTCTTTCCATCGGCCATACTCACAGCAGGCTGCCCAGTCCCAGGACCATCAGCCATTTCATGACAGAGGTTGCCAGCAGAATTTCTCCAGGGATCCCTTTCGAGGGGGGTCTGGTTCCCGACCTTTCAAAAGATACAAGTGACCACCACCTGTCAGCTCCCATAGAAGAGCATATTCAGTGATTTCACGCCCAATGGGAGTGGATCACGTCAGACCAGTGGGTCCTACAGACAATCCGCTTGAGTCTCACTTTAGAATTTCTTTCCCCTCCCCCCAGACACTTCATCCGCTGTCCCACTCCTTTGTGTCCCATGAAAAGGGCTCTCATGGAACAGGAGATCAGGCATCTCAGGGACATCAGAGCCGTAGAACTGGTTCGACCAGGTCAGGAAGGAACAGGATTTTACTCCATTCTATTCCTGGTCCCCAAAAGCTCCAGGGGGTGGAGGGGAATCCTAGATCTAAAAAGATTAAATTATCACATAACTTACCGGAGATTCAAGATACAGTCCCTGCAGTCCATCCTGGGCTGTATCAGGCCAGGTGACAACTTGAAATCCATAGATCTCAAAGAGGCCTACCTCCATGTACCCATTCGCAAAGTTCATAGCCGGTACCTGAGATTTGCTTATGCTGGCCGCCACACTAGTATCGGGCCTTGCTGTTTGGCCTGTCATTGGCCCCCAGGACGTTTACAAAGATCTTTGCTGTAGTGGCAGCCTTTCTCAAATCTCGTCCGGTGCAGCTCCATTGCTACTTATATGACATCCACATCCAGTCGTCATCGCCTCAGCAGGCGATCCAAGACCTGAGGTAAACCATGAAGGTCCTCCAGGACCACGGCTCCTCCATAAATTTGGAGAAAAGACATGTTCAACCAACAACTAGGTTGCAACATCTAGGAGCTGTCATCGACACCGTCATCTGCCAGGCCTTCCTGTCCCTGGAGCGGCTAACGAGCCTCAAAGAGAGGGTCATACAGGTGCAGCGGTCCCCTCACGCCAAGGTCATGCAGTTGTCACAACTCCTCAGCAAGATGATATAATGCCTGTCCATCATCCCATGGGCAAGACTCCATTCTCGTCCCTTGCTCCTGCTG